CTCAATTATAGTAATTTAGGTTATTAAATGATTCATAATAACAAAATAAATTCAACTTTAGTCATGTAGGGTATCAAATGATTCAGTATCACAAAATAAGCTAAACTCAATTTTTAAACTTAATAAATCTATAAATAAATAAAAAATTTAGTTGCCATTTTAAAGATAAAAATTTTAATGCAGATGACATACTTCATTTTTTATGCTTTACACAAATCTAAATTTAAAAATCAAAAAAATATATTTTTTTTTTTAATTTTTCGACGCGATTTTCTCTATGTTCCTGATGAAATATAAAAATTTCAACACTGATCCCCAAAACTCATTTTTGATGCTTTATCAAATTCTGAAATCAAAATTTAAAAATTTCAAAAAAAAATTGGGACAGACGAACGGAAATATAGAATTCATATACGTACTCTTTTAAAGAGTTCGTGATAATTATCTAATTAATAAAAATTAATATTAAAAAAAATTTGAAAGCTATATGTTATATTAGTTAGTATAACATAATTATAATGATTTACAGCCATAATATAGCAATACAATGCTAATTTTTAATGAATTTTTGATGATTTTTATATTTTATAAATATGTTACTATTTGATTGTTATATTTATACAGTTGAAAAACTATTATTTATTACAAATTAATAAATTTTTAATTTCCAAATTAAATGATTTTTCAAAAAACTATTTTATTAATAAATATCTAAATAAATATATACTATATATTACAATAACAATAACAACAACAATAACAATAATCACAATACTATTAAATTTGTCTAAAAAATATCAATTAAAATATTTTGAAAATATAATTAAGTGTTGTAAATATGGCAAATCCTAACCACATTCCCATAAGTCCGCCTAAATTCGATAGTAACTCAATCGGTGACATTTGTGGACTGTGTTGAACCAATTGATCCGATTGAGCTGAATGTCGGATAACGGCCCTGACTGTAGAGTTATCCCATTTATTAGATTTATTGACTTTAAAATCAATATTTTGTTTGTCCAACAATGTTATAATATAATTACTCTCATAACATGGGTCCGGACACTCTTTATTGCAAATTACCCGATAAGGTAGACCACATTTGCTGTAACCAACAAATCTATGACACGTCGACACATTTTTGTTGACCAGATAGTCGGGTATTATACTGAAATCCCATGGTATACACTGATTGGTACAGTTAATATAAGTCCAATTATCGCTAACACAACATCGATTATTTGCGGCGGTTATATGTCGTTGAAAACATTGATATCGACACTCAAATCGGGTTCGCGGTGTCTTTGGGTAAATATCGGTATTGGTGTCATTGTAATCATAAATGTTATATTCTGTGCAATTGGTGTCCCATTTAGGCGGCAATCTAATGGTTTTTATTGTCGAATACCGGATGCGATATTTATTATTCATATGCAATGGAAAAATATTTTCTGTAATTAAGTCATTGGGTGTGTTATTCGCCGAATGCATAATAAGAGTCAACGGATTGTCTTCGTATAGTGTGTTTGGAAACCAATGTTTGTTATGTCTGACCCTAAAAATTATTTTTTCCAAATCAGTTTTGTATTGTTGATAACGGGGATTAAGTTCAGTAAAAAATGATAAACATTTTGACGGATATAAACTACTCATTGTAAATGATATAATTGGTTGTAAATCACTTATTTTTGTTGAATTTATAGTAGTGGTGTCTGTGGTATTATAAGCAGAAATATATGCTAATATAAATCGACCACCGATTGTCTTTGAATAATTAATTAAATTAGTTATCATATGTGGAACTGTTATATTACTGTCGTATAGATCTCTTAATGGCAAACGTTTATTAAGATAATACCTGACAAACTTGTCATACATGAGCTTTAATTTTTTTCTTAGTATATCATTATCATAATCAATATCAGTAACATTGTCTATCAATTGTATATATTCTGTATAAGTGTCCCGTAATTCCGGAAACCTTTCGGCTAAAGTATCCATACGTAAAGCGTATGGAAAACAAAGGGTAAAACCGGGAATCGATTCATTATACAAACGAATATATTTTATAGATACCAAAGTTTTTCCGCTGTTATATTGTTTCAATAACAGATACGAGTGATATGATAGTAGTGTTATGCAGACAACAAAAAATATAAACTTCATAACTGTCCGGCGTTTTTGTTGGTCAGTCATTTGCATCCATTTAGTCTTAAACTTATTCATCAACTGTTGGCAAATATTTTCAGGATTTTCGCCAATTTCAGGATTTTCGATAATTTCAGGCATTTCAAGCATTTCAGGCATTTCAGGCATTTCAGGCATTTCAGGCATTTCAGACATTTCAGACATTTCAGACATTTCATACATTTCAGACATTTCAGACATTTCATACATTTCAGACATTTCAGACATTTCATACATTTCAGACATTTCAATCATTTCAAGATTATCAGTATTTTCACTATTTTGAAACATTTTTGATAATAACAATTCAGTCAAATTACTTTTTACATAAATATCATATAAACTATTGTTATTCATTTTAACACTTTTTTGATTATATCAACTTTATATCAATAAACAAATGAAATATTTACTGTATATTATATTTATTATATTTTATATAAATTAAATTTTTATCATACATACAGTACATAAATATATATATATATATATATATATTATATTTTTTCTCTAAAATAATCTAATATTCTGTATGAATAAACAAAATTATTTCATAATAATATTAAAATATTTTACTGTTCAATTTAATACAAAAAAAAATATTTATTTATATTATTCAAATTATATTTAAAAATATTGTTGAATCAGTTGTAAATTACAAAATATATTATAATATTTTTTAAAAATTTAGTTATCAATTATCACCCATTCATTTGCGTTCATCAATGTATATGAAATAAACAACTTTTTTTAAACACGAAAAACTATTTATTATAGAAATTTTTATTGAATCAGAATTTTAATTTTCATAGATTTTTAAAAAAAAAATATTTATCTTTTATAAAGTTTGAAATTTTTATTATTTAATTAGTGTTATTATGATTGACATATTTGGTTCACCTGTTTGCATAATTTTAGTTAATTTGTAACTAAAAAGCAACAATACTTATAACTATTTTTTCAATTTATTTATTATGTTGTCTATCAAAATGTTTTTTAATTATCTAATTAACTATAATATTTCAAAACTTATTTAACTAAATAAAATTATTGTTAATAAATAAAACTGATTTTAATATTAAATTATGTAAAATAAAAATACATAACATTATATTTATTAGTATTATATTATGTAAAATAATACTAATTTACTATATCATAGAAAGTAATAATAATAATAATAAAACATATTCTGCTATAATAAAGGAAGTTTTTTTAATAATTTATTTGACAATAAAACTATTGTATTTAATTTACTCAATTTTATTATAGCCTATAATATATATAATATAAATTTAAAAAAAAAATTATTCTCACATTATTTTGTGTTAATTAAAATACAATAATAATGTTTATATAAATTATAATTCATATAATAAATCATATTATAATAAAACAAAACCTTTGTTTACAATAACGGCTTTTATTGCCTAACAATACTAACTGTTTGTTAAATAAATTGTGGACAACCGGTGCCAATACTGAACTAATATTTTCATTTTAGGGCACTCCTGGTGTGGCCACTCATTAGTAGTTTTAGCTACCAATTGGTGTTCATTGCTTGACCACCGATAATGGCCAGCCATCAGATATCATGCAATTAATTTGTGTGTATTTCCAATCAATTTCATAGTCTTTATTATTCAAAGTATTTAATATGTTTTAAATAATTGCCACTAAATTGTGTTTCATTGTTATTGTATTGTTTAGACATTAATTTTGTTTTTAATATTTATTATTGAATGTAATAGTAATTATAATTATTATTATATAAAATGTGATTTTATATTATAATTTTTATAACAAAATTGTTTTATTAATAATTTGATACATAGTTACCATAGTTTGTATTAAATAAAAATTGATTTCCTTTGAAAACATTTATTTTTTACAGAAATAATAGTATAATAAATAATATATTAATAAAAATTATATTAAATTATTATAAAATATTTGTATATATAAATACTTGTATTTAGCAATAATTGTCGAATTAATGTTAGAATAGACTTATATAGACTAACAGTTCTATCAATTGGTAGATCAGTTGTACCACATGTTCGGCCAGTTTTGTTGATTGGCTTTAATTATTTGGATTTTACAAAAACTTATATTTAAATTGTTTGCAAACAAAATTGATTTTAAATTATTGCCACTAAATTGTGTTTCATTGTTAATATATTTATTTTTTTTCATTTAATATTTATTATTGAATATAATAGTAATTATTTTGTATAATAATTTTTATAACCAAATTGTTTTATTAATAATTTGATACATAGTTACTATAGTTTGTATTAAATAACAATTGATTGACTTTGAAAGCAGTTATTTTTTTAAAGAAATAATAGTATAATAAATAATATAGTTTATATATATTCGTAAAAATAAGATTAAATTACTATATTATAAAATTTTACATTTATTTATAAATAATTCAATATTATCTATTGTATAAATATTTAAATTTGCTGAATATTTGATATTTTTACAAAATTTATAATAATTAACAATTTTATGTAAATATGATAAATTAAAAATATTTGTATTAATGAAACAATTATAAAAATTTTATTGTAATTTAATAAATAGATTAAATGTATATTATTATTATTATTTTATTATATATAACTTTAAAATAACTAAAAATCGTAAAAATAGTGTTAATTTACGACATTATAGCTTTTATACATTTAAATTTTCGTTTATATAAACTGTATTTGTTTATTATAATGTCTTGTTTAACAAATTCAGTCAATTGTATCAAACAATTATTGATTATATGGTATATATTATGTGCTATCATATCATCAATGGATAGTATAATATCACCGGAAGGGTGTGGTGTGGGCCGCGAGTCAGTGCTGATGAACGGCCAGTGTTTCCGCTGGTATGCAAACTATACACAACAACAGGACATACAGTTTGGACGATCGGCCAAACCGGGAGAAGTGCCGTTTGCGGTATATATTCACAAATATAAGAAACTATGGATATTTCCTTACGGGGAAAGGTATATCAATATAATAATATTTATTAATAATTTTATAAATACTGTATATTTAAGGACAATTTATATTATTTAAAACAAATAATATAAAAAAATAAATTATTTTAGTATGTGTTCGGGTTCAATATTAAATAATCGATGGATTATAACAGCAGCACATTGTGTATATAAGTATGTAATTTATAAAAACAAAATATTTAATTTAAAATTATAATCAATACTTAAATTTATGTTTTACCCATTATTATTATTATTATTATTATATACTGTATATGTACATAACAAACAATAATAATAATATTGATAAATAAAAAACTACTTAAAGTAAATAATTGTTCAAAAAACTAATAAGCTAAATCAAATAGATATTTTATGAAAATTTCCAGAAAAGTTATTTAAAGATATTTAAACTAAAATATTTATATAATTAAATAATAACTGTTGTTTACATGTAAAATAACGATTACAAAACTTTACATTATATTCTCGGAAAAAAATCTATTTATAGTAATTAAATAACACCAAAATCAATATCTTTTATATGATTTTTATCCAATTGACACCATTTTATATATAAATTCAGATAACAAATTACAAAACAAATTATATTATATTGTATTATAATTTAAGAAATGGTTATTACGACAAATCGGATTTTACTGTATATCCCGGCGCTCAATCACGCAAACACTTACCACTCGGTTATAATGTGGAACAGTTGTACGCACATCCAGACTATATAAGTGGTAATGAAACCAAATCTGATATCGGATTAATTAAATTGAAACAATGGATACCACTTCCAACTAAACGACAACCAATCAGACTTATGAATGCCATTTGTTTGCCCACTAATAGTAGTATTAAAAGTAGTAGTAGTGGTAGATATACACCGTCTACTGGTAAATATACACCGTCTGAAAATCTGAATCAGTTGGCACTGGTAGCTGGTTTCGGTGCTTATGGCAATCACTTGCATACAGTTAATCGGCTACATATTGGTTGGGTATATATAGTATTCAATGATGATCAATTATGGTATTATATGACACGTTATCCCAGATATAGTGGTACATCAATATGTAGTGTAAGTTTTTAATTATTGTTTTTTAAAATTAATTTTAATTTTTTTCATTAAATATTTGCTATAAACTCCTATAATACTACTCTATGCTATAAAAAATACTAATTTTTATAAAAATATATTGAATATAATATTCATTCATAAAAATCATATCTACTATAACACTAATCTAACAAACATTTTAAAATTTCTATAAAAAAAATGAATTGAATTTAAAATAAACTATTGTTTAATACAATAACTTATTAACTAGTATTACATGAATACATACTAATTTATAGGGTGATTCTGGTGGTCCACTGTATCAGTATATTAACGGTAGGGCAGTGCTCATTGGTATCAGTAGTGGCGGTGAAGAATCTAATACCAAATGTTTGAATCCAAATGATTACAAAAAATTAATATATTTTGTACGCATTTTACCGCATTTGGATTGGATTACAAACATTGTATCTAATAATTAGCTAATTATATATGACCACATACACATACACATACACATACACATACACATACACATACACATACACATACACATACACATACACATACACATACACATACACATACACATACACATACACATACACATACACATACACATACACATACACATACACATACACATACACATACACATACACATACACATACACATACACATACACATACACATACACATACACATACACATACACATACACATACACATACACATACACATACACATACACATACACATACACATACACATACACATACACATACACATACACATACACATACACATACACATACACATACACATACACATACACATACACATACACATACACATACACATACACATACACATACACATACACATACACATACACATACACATACACATACACATACACATACACATACACATACACATACACATACACATACACATACACATACACATACACATACACATACACATACACATACACATACACATACACATACACATACACATACACATACACATACACATACACATACACATACACATACACATACACATACACATACACATACACATACACATACACATACACATACACATACACATACACATACACATACACATACACATACACATACACATACACATACACATACACATACACATACACATACACATACACATACACATACACATACACATACACATACACATACACATACACATACACATACACATACACATACACATACACATACACATACACATACACATACACATACACATACACATACACATACACATACACATACACATACACATACACATACACATACACATACACATACACATACACATACACATACACATACACATACACATACACATACACATACACATACACATACACATACACATACACATACACATACACATACACATACACATACACATACACATACACATACACATACACATACACATACACATACACATACACATACACATACACATACACATACACATACACATACACATACACATACACATACACACATACACATACACATACACATACACATACACATACACATACACATACACATACACATACACATACACATACACATACACATACACATACACATACACATACACATACACATACACATACACATACACATACACATACACATACACATACACATACACATACACATACACATACACATACACATACACATACACATACACATACACATACACATACACATACACATACACATACACATACACATACATTTTATTTCATTATCATTTGTTATTCATTAGCAAACGGTGTCCTTGTTTTAAATATTTATCAATCTTACTGTTGGACACATTAGGATATGGTTTAACTCCGCGGGTCATCAGTTCCCATACGAGTACACCATAAGACCAGACATCAGTTTTGCTATCGTATACACCTCTTTCCAGACTCTCGGGTGACATCCATTTGACAGGAAGTTTACATTTTTGATTAATACTTTTGTAATAATCTTTATTAAACAAATCTCTTGATAAACCAAAGTCTGCTATTTTGACTAATAATTTATCGTCGATAAGACAGTTACGAGCGGCCAAATCCCGGTGAATGAAATGATGTTCCGATAGATAAGACATACCTATTGTATATAACATATAATATAAATAATTTTAAATTAATTTTATTATATTTTTAGATAAAATAAATATTAGTAAAAAGTATTTACCTTTTGCTATATCGATGGCAAACATGAGTAGCATTCTTACAGTTAGATAATTGTTATCATTTCTAATATATGATAACAAATCTCCGTTTGACATAAAAGGTAAAACAATTATCGGTTCACCGGTTGTTTCAAAACAGACACCAATAAGTGTTAAGACATTCAAATGGTTGAAGTCTTTCATTATAATGCTTCGATAGTATTGACATCATTTATCTTTGCTATAAAAATATTTAAAAAATATTAAAAATTATATATTTTTGTTGTACTATATATTACATACACTTTTTTAAAGTTTTTGCGGCCACTTGTATCTCATTATGTATTTGTTGATCAAATAGTAATGCTTTATAAACTTTGCCGAACTCTCCCATTCCTAATACAGATTCAAGTCTTATGTTTTTTCTTTCGATATAAATATTTTGAATCCGTATTGAATCCATAATTTCATCACTTATTTGGTATTTATTATCATTTGATGTCAGCATAATGTCTATAAATTAAAAAATAAAATAATATTAATTTTATGATTTTGATCATATAAAATTAATAAACTATTATATAATACAATAAATTAACAAAATTAGTTATTTATAAGATAAACTTATTATGCTTTATAATATAATTTAATAGAAATACCATTTATTAACATCTATTTTCATCCTTAATATTGGTTTCCTTTTTATAAATAACTTACATAAAAATATTTTTATAATTATAATTGTTATAAACTAAAGTATTTTATTAAAGTTATTAGTATTGGTTATAAAGTTAAGTTTACTAAATTTATATTTTATAGCTAAAATAATGTTTATTATGTTTAAATTTATAACACATACACATACACATACACATACACATACACATACACATACACATACACATACACATACACATACACATACACATACACATACACATACACATACACATACACATACACATACACATACACATACACATACACATACACATACACATACACATACACATACACATACACATACACATACACATACACATACACATACACATACACATACACATACACATACACATACACATACACATACACATACACATACACATACACATACACATACACATACACATACACATACAAAATTGAAATTCATATAATCTATTGATATATAAAGTATTGTAATTATTCAAACTATAATTAGTTAAGACTAAAAACTAAGTTTATAATTTTGATTTTATTTAATTATTAAAATACAAAATTAAAAACAAAAATAACAATATTAAATATTAATATAATTTAATTATTAATTATAAATGAGTTATCAATTGGATAATTGATGTAAATATTGTCTACATTTTCTTGTGCATCGTTTACTAATTTTTCAATTATTGATTCAATTTCTACTATTATTTCAGCAAATGTTGGTCTATATTGCGGATCATAAGACCAACAGCGCATCAATACATTTGTATAAACAATTTGTGGACAATGGTATGGTTTTAGCAAACGTTGTCCTTGTTTTAAATATTTATCAATCATACTGTTGGACACATTAGGATATGGTTTAACTCCGCGGGTCATCAGTTCCCATACGAGTACACCATAAGACCAGACATCAGTTTTGGTATCATATATACCTCTTTCCAGACTCTCGGGTGACATCCATTTGACCGGAAGTTTACATTTTTGATTAATACTTTTGTAATAATCTTTATTAAACAAATCTCTTGATAAACCAAAGTCTGCTATTTTGACTAATAATTTATCGTCGATAAGACAGTTACGAGCGGCCAAATCCCGGTGAATGATATGATGTTCCGATAGATAAGACATACCTATTGTGTATAAAATATAATATAAATAATTTTTAATTAATTTTATTATATTTTTAGATAAAATAAATATTAGTAAAAAGTATTTACCTTTTGCTATATCGATGGCAAACATGAGTAGCATTCTTGCTGTTAGATAATTGTTATCATTTCTAATATATGATAACAAATCTCCGTTTGACATAAAAGGTAAAACAATTATCGGTTCACCGGTTGTTTCAAAGCAGACACCTATAAGTGTTAAGACATTCAAATGATTGAAGTCTTTCATTATAAGGCCTTCCTTTAGAAATGTTTCGATAGTATTGACATCACTTATCTTTGCTATAAAAATATTTTAAAAACATTCAAAATTATATATATTTTTTATACTATATATATTACATACACTTTTTTATAGTTTTTGCGGCCACTTGTATCTCATTATGTATTTGTTGATCAAAGAGTAATGCTTTATAAATTTTGCCGAACTCTCCCATTCCTAATACAGATTCAAGTTTTATGTATTTTCTTTCGATATAAATATTTTGAATCCGTATTGAATCCATAATTTCATCATTTATTTGGTGCTTATTATCATTTGATGTCAGCATAATGTCTATGAATGTTAGTATAAAATAAATATAATTTTATGATAATAATGTGTAATATAATAAAAATAATATCATATGTTAATAATAAGATAAACTTATTGAATTTATAATGTAATCTTAAATGAAATACCATTTGTTAGCACTTGTCTATTGTCATCGTTAACATAGGTCTCCTTTTTATATATGACTTCAATTGATTTAACAGTATTTTTCTTATTATTTTTCTTAACATTTATTATATGAATAATTACACAAATAATTACTGCAAACATACCAATAATTGCTATTACTATAATTTAAAAATATTGTAATTAATTTTTTATAAATAATATTAATTAATTATAATTAATTTTACCTGATAATGTATCTTCGTCCTTTTTTCCTTTATTTATACAAACAATAATAAAACAAATAAATAAATTATTATATTAAATTTTATTTGTACAATAATTTTAAATTACTAGTTAAAATTAAATATTTTTATTATTATTATTGTTGAAAACTAAAGTATTAATAGCATTATTATTAATAATTAAAAGGATAATAGATAAAAAGTTTTTATAGCTAACAATAATGTTTATTATGTTTAAATTTATATACAATTTAATATAATAACTATTTATATCTTACCATTTGGTATGCATTCCGATGACATTGATGTCCACTCATTATTTGTTACACAAATTATTTCTTTATTTCCAATTAAATCATAATTTTCTTTACATTTGAATTTTGCAATTGAATAATTCATATTTGTTTCAATACTAACCAAACCATTTGATGGCACATCAGGTGTTCCGCAGTTATTATTGTTTGATAACAATATTTGTAATTCACAAATATTTAGGTGGAAATTGTTTTTAAAAAATATACTCAAATAATCTCCATAAATATAATAATCGTTTTGAATGTATTGATAAACATTTACATAATTTTTGAAACTTTTTGTTAGTAAATGTAATTTTGAAAAATTATTTTGATTTTTTAGACCAAATTTTAAGTGATAATGTGGTAAATCTAGTTCACTATTATCCATACTTACTAATTGAACGCCTTTAACATTAACTGTTGAATTAAAATATATTTCAATTAAATTGTTTGTTTGATTGGATGAAAATGTGTCCAAACATCTCGAGTAGTTGTTATCAAATAAATACTTAACATATCTATAGTTGGTTTGATTATTAATTATTGTTTTATTGATAAACTGTTTATCCAATTGTTTGAGACATTGAGGTACAGGTGAAGACCAACCATTGATGTCATTATTGCAATAACGGCTAGCATTGCCTAACAGTATTGATTGTGTATTACATGAATATTGAACAATATTTTTTGATTTAAAACTAATAAATCCATTAAACGGCACACCTGGCTCTGCACAGGGGCTTACATTTGATTGATAAAATAAAATAAAATTTACAATTAAAATAAATTTACTTAAATAGTTAAACATTTTTATCACTTAATATAATAATCACTTTATCATTTAATATAAAAAAAATAATATTTTATAACTTTTTAATTTAATAGTTATCAATTAGGATTTTTTTTTAAATAATATACTTATAAAAAATCTTATAATAATTTTTTTTTGTATATTACTGTATTTTTTTGAAAAATTTATAACTTATAACTTATATTTAAAATATTATGTATTATTTTATACTGTATATTTCATTTTAATATTTCATATATAATAAATTTTTTTGAAACAAAAATTAAACAATTATTTTTGATATCACAGTTTCAAATAATCTCAAATAATAAATATATCTCAATATATAAATAATTTTTCTAAACTTAACAGTCAGTATATATTGATATATATATATGATTTCAATTTACAATGATTTTGTGTCCAGGAAACTTATATATTTACATATGAATTTATTCTGTGTATAAATATTGTGATTTGTTTTTTAATTTTGAACTACAAAAACATATATTTATAAACATATTTATATAATATTGACATTTTTCAAAGATAAATCACAAACAGTTTTTCTATTAATCATATGTTATTGAATATATATATATATATATATATCTATTGTGTATTAAAAAATATCAATTATTTATGAATTGACTATCAAATTGATATTTTATAAAAAAAAATTGTTATTGTTTTTTAAAAAAAATTATTAAATGTTATTGTTATTGGTTATTGTAATGGTAATAGTTATTGAAAATTGCAATTATATATATATATATTTGTGTAAAAATTGCAATCTTTAATAACATATAATAGATTAATGTATATATATATATATACAATAGTATATATTATTTTTTAAAAGTATTTTTAATTAAATTATAAACTAAACATTTATTCTGATTATTGAATTACAGTTAATGTTTTTTTAGTTTAACATATTTACATAAAACATTTAGTAAATATCATATATACTGGTTATACTGTATAAATAATAAAATAATAAAAACTTTCAATATATTGATATTATTGACATTTTTAAAGATAAATCAATATTTAGCAATTTAATTTTAATTAAAATCACGCAAACAATTTTTTTGTATTAATCTTATTGAATATATGATCCAAAAAATATTTTATAATAAAAAAAATAAATTTATTATAACTATCTTTTTATTATTGAAGTACATTATTTTGTATTAGTATTAATCTATAAATTATTATAATTTTATTTATTTTTTACTTACATTTACATAATTTTGCGGCTACTTTTTTGATGGTATATTTAATAATGAAAAATATTAATATAAGATTTCAGTTATAGCAACAAAAAAAATATTTAAATATATTTTTTATTATTGTTATTTATTTATAAAAATAATAATTTACTCTACATTTTCTCAGATTATTGAATTACAGTTAAAAAATTTTGTTTAGTGTTTATTATATTTGCATAAAACTGTTATTCAGTTAGATATCAAATATACGGTTTATATAAATTTATTTAAATAATTAATAATAGATATTAAAATATATTTATTGTATATTAATTGTATTAAAGTAGTTTTTCTAATTTTTATTTATCATTATTTTAAAAAAATAAAAATTACTAAATAATTAAATATCATTATTTTATTATCAAAACAAATATAATTTTTTATTATGTTTTAAACAAAAAAAACAGATAATATTACTAATTTTATAGATTTAATTTTAATTCAATACTATATTTTTAATTAATAATTTTTTAAGAAAAATACTACTCTAAAAACAATTACTATTTAATATTATATATAACTATTTTAGTTGTATTTTAATTAAATATAAATATTTATTATATTACTATGATTTAAAATTTTACAAAACTGTTTATTGTTTATACTATTATATGTATCCTATTTTGTATAGTAGTGTAAAACTGTAAATGTATTATGTTTCACCAATAATACTATTTCAATAGTTATAGATATGGGTATCAACAATAAAGTTATATTTCTATAGTAAATTTCCTGAAATATTTTCTATAAACTTTTTCATTGAAATTTATTATTGTAACTTTTAATGCAATTCAATAATCAGAAAAAATGTATAAAATTATTTTTATCAATGACTGTATATTGTTTAATAAATGCTAATTTAAATAAAAATAATAATCAAACATTTTATCATTAAAATGTGAAATGATATAATAATATATATAAACATTATATAATTTTAAAGATCTCAATAAATATTTATAATATTTAATTTGTTTAGACTATTTTGGACATACAGTATATTACATTTATATAAATAATAAAATATGATAAAATTTAGTTTAATTTTCATTAAATTGTCAAATTAGAGATTTAGATACAATTAGATATTAGGATACTTAAATAGATTTATTATAGAAGTATATACAGTATACAAAATTTATATTAAAGTAATATTAAATATTTATTGTATTAATATTTTACATTTAGTAATAAATAATTTAATATCTTTATATATATAGTGAATATTTGATATTTTAGCAATATTTATAAGAATTAACAATTTTATGTAAATAGGATAAACTAAAAAAATTTGTATTATTGCCTATCAATACTAACTGTGTATTACATTAATAGTTGATAACCTTTGCCAATACTGAACTTATATTTGCATTTTAGGGCACTCCTGGTTTGGCCACTCATTGGTAGTTTAGCTACCAATTGGTGTCCATTGCTTGACCACCGATAATGACCAGTCATCAGATATCATGCAATTAATTTGTGTGTATTTCCAATCAATTTATAGTCTTTATTATAGGCTTTAATTGTTTGGATTTTGCAAAACATATATTTAAATTGTTTGCAAACAAAATTGATTTTAAATTATTGCCACTAAATTGTGTTACATTGTTAATGTATTGATTAGGAATTAATTTTTCTTTTTACTATTTATCATTGAATAGTAATTATTTTATATTATAATTTTTATAACCAAATTGTTACTATAGTTGTATTAAATAGCAATTGATTGACTTTTAAAGCATTTATTTTTTATAGAGAAATAATATTATTATAAATAATATACATTAGTAAAAATAATATTAAATTATTATAAAATTTTACATTTATTTATAAATAATTCAATATCGTTATATTATATATTATGTATCTATATAAATTTAATAAATATTTGATATTTTTACAATACCTTTAATAATTAACAATTTTATGTAAATATGATAAACTAAAAATATTTGTACTAATGAAATAATATATTGTAATTTAATAACTAGATGTATATTATTATTATTTTATTATATATAACTTTATAATAACTAAAAATTGTAAAAATAGTGTTAATTTACGACATTATAGCTTAAATTATATTCATTATATTTTTGTATAAATATATATATACTGATATACAGTATACTATAATATATATTTTATTATAATGTCTTGTTTAACAAATACAGTCAATTGTATCAAACAATTATTGATTATATGGTATATATTATGTGCTATCATATCATCAATGGATAGTATAATATCACCGGAAGGGTGTGGTGTGGGCCGCGAGTCAGTGCTGATGAACGGCCAGTGTTTCCGCTGGTATGCAAACTATACACAACAACAGGACATACAGTTTGGACGATCGGCCAAACCGGGAGAAGTGCCGTTTGTGGCATACATTTTCAAATATATGAAATTATGGATATTTCCTTACGGGAGAAAGTATGTCAAAATAATTTATATATATCAGGCTTAGGCAAGGTTTTGGATTTTAGGGGGGGTAGACCTGGGTAAAATTTACAAAATTCTCGAAAAATCTTGGGGGTATTGGGTACTTAAAAATAGTTGATAAAAGCTTTTAATGATACAATATTAGTATTTTAGTAATTTTTAACTTTTAAAAGTATTAATTTTAGTTTATAGATATATATTTTTATTTAAATTTTAAAATTACTAAAATACTAAAAAGAACTCATGAATGCTTTTATCAACTATTTTAATCTAAAATACACAATTATTTTATTATTTGCTAAAATTTAAGTTTTTATTAATTTTTTAAATTTTTTAAAAAATTATTTATTTTTTGTTAAAATTTAAGTTTTTATTAAGTTTTTATTAATTTTTAATTTTTTTTATATTTTTGGGAATTTTACCTATTTTCCTGGGAATTTATACGGGAACTTATGGGAATTTTCCTGAATTTACATGGGGATATTCGGGAATTTAAGGGAATATTAGGAAATTTTCTCTAGACCCCCCCCTTGATTTTGGATTTTTGAAAAAATTGCCGTTTAAAAATGCAATAAAAATCTTACCACACCCAATACCCCCCCCAAGATTTTTCGAGAATTTTGCAAATTTCACCCCGGTCTACCGGTGACATATGTGACCGGTGACCCCCCCACCTAAAATCCAAAACCTTGCTTAACCCTGATTATTATAGTCACTGTTCGGGTTCAATATTAAATGATCGATGGATTATAACAGCAGCACATTGTATATATAAGTATGTAATTTATAAAAATTTATAAAATATACAAATTATAATCAATAATAAAATTTCATTTTTTGTTTGTAACTTGTTTTGTATAAATTTTAACACTTATTATTATATAGTACAGCTATATATATATACCGTTATTTGGGTCTGTTCACATAGTACGTTTGCATGTCTTTAACCCTTAACCCCCCCCTCCACAACAAAAAATAAAATATTATCTAAATGAGAACGTTTTTAATGTCTCTACCTCTCCCATCCCCTCGTTTGCAAAAATTTGCTTTGGCTAAACCCCCCCCCCCCCGCCCCTCAATTGCGAACGTATTATTATGAGAAACACTCATATACTTAAAAAACAATATATCTGTAGATATGAAGTCTATTAAATTAATGAATGAATGAATGATTGTGTAAAAGATAATAAACAAAAAATAAGTGATTAAAATGTATTTAAATAATTTAATCGATTAATTAAATAATAATTTTGTTTTCATGTAAAATAGTATCTTTGACAACATTTTATATATAACTTAATAAAATTTACAATAAATAATATTATAGTTTATTATAATTTAAGAAATGGTTATTACGATAAATCGGATTTTACTGTATATCCCGGCACACAATCAATCAAACACTTACCACTCGGTTATAGTGTGGACCAGTTGTACGCACATCCAGACTATATGAGTGGTAATGAAACCAAATCTGATATCGGATTAATAAAATTGAAACAATGGATACCACTTCCGACTAAACCAAATACAATCAGTCTTATGAATGCCATTTGTTTGCCCACTAATAGTAGTATTAAAAGTAGTAGTAGTGGTAAATATAAACCGTCTGAAAACCTTAATCAGTTGGCACTGGTAGCTGGTTTCGGTGATTATGGCAATCACTACCATACTATTAATCGGCTACATATTGGTTGGGTATATATTAGATATAATAACGATTTATTATCGTATTATATGAGACGTTATCCCAAATATAGTGGTACATCAATCTGTAATGTAAATATTTATTCATATTTTATATTTATATTTTATTTTAATAATTAGCTATAAAATACTTTAAGCACTCACTATAATATCATTACATATAAAAAATTAAAAAAATATAGAGTAAATAAAATACTAATAATATCGATATATATATAATTTATTGTATACTACACATACACATACACATACACATACACATACACATACACATACACATACACATACACATACACATACACATACACATACACATACACATACACATACACATACACATACACATACACATACACATACACATACACATACACATACACATACACATACACATACACATACACATACACATACACATACACATACACATACACATACACATACACATACACATACACATACACATACACATACACATACACATACACATACACATACACATACACATACACATACACATACACATACACATACACATACACATACACATACACATACACATACACATACACATACACATACACATACACATACACATACACATACACATACACATACACATACACATACACATACACATACACATACACATACACATACACATACACATACACATACACATACACATACACATACACATACACATACACATACACATACACATACACATACACATACACATACACATACACATACACATACACATACACATACACATACACATACACATACACATACACATACACATACACATACACATACACATACACATACACATACACATACACATACATTTTATTTCATTATCATTTGTTTAAATATTAATTAAAAACAATTTATAGGGTGATTCTGGTGGTCCATTGTATCAGTATATTAACGGTAGGGCAGTGCTCATTGGTATCACACGAAGCAGTGAAGCTATTGATTCTTGTTTGGATCCAAAAGATTACAAAGCAATGATGACTTTTGTACGCATTTTACCGCATTTGGATTGGATTACAAACATTGTATCTAATAATTAGCTTATTATATATGATTTTAACATTAGATGAATATATTGAGTAAAATTCTTAAAAATTAATTATAAAAAGCAAAATATTTTTATAACTGTTTTTTAATTTTTTAATCAATATTTTAAAGTGTTTTTTAAAAATTAACATTACTATATTTATATAATATATAAAATATATAAAGTATTTGTATTTATTCTAACTATAATTATTAAATACCTTATGTTTGTAAATTTGATTTTATTTATATATTAAAATAAAACAAAATAATAAACAAAATTGTTAAAAAACACAAATAACAATATTAAAGATTAATATCCATTTGACCGGAAGTTTACGTTTTTGATTATCACTTTTGTAATAATCTTTATAAAACAAATCCCTCGATAAACCAAAGTCTGCTATTTTGACTAATAATTTATCGTCGATAAGACAGTTACGTGCGGCCAAATCCCGGTGAATGATATGATGTTCCGATAGATAAGCCATACCTATTGAACATAACATAATATTCAATAAAAAACAACATTTAAAGTAAAAGTAATAATAAAAAAATTATAGACCTTTTGCTATATCGATGGCAAACAGGAGTAACATTCTTACAGTTAGATAATTGCTATCATTTCTAATATATGATAACATATCGCCGTTTGACATAAAAGGTAATATAATTATCGGTTCACCGGTTGTTTCAAAGCAGACACCTATAAGTGTTAAGACATTCAAATGGTTGAAGTCTTTTATTATAAGGCCTTCCTTTAGAAAGGTTTCGATAGTATTGACACCATTTATCTTTGCTATAAAATTATTTAAAAAAATAAATTATATATTTTTAATTTACTGTATATTACATACATTTTTAAAAAGTTTTTTGCGGCCACTTCTCTCTCATTATTTAACTGTTTATCAAAGAGTAATCCCTTATAAACTTTGCCGAACTCTCCCATTCCTAATACGGATTCAAGTTTTTTTATTTTTTCTTTCGATATAAATATTTTGAATCCGTATTGAATCCATAATTTCATCACTTATTTGGTATTTATTATCATTTGATGTCAGCATAATGTCTATAAATTAACGAATAAAATAATATTAATTTTATGTTTTAATTATATAATTTTAATAAAATATTACTTAATAGAATAAAAATAATTTAATTAGTTATTAATGAAATAAACTTATTATTATTTATAATAATTTTAAATAAATACCATTTGTTAACACTTGTCTATTGTTATCGTTAACATTGGACTCCTAATAATTATTAATAGATTATTAGATTAGCAATAATATAATTGAATTTATACTATAATATATATTAATAATAATATTAATTATGTTTTAATTTAACTTTAACTACAATTTATAATATAATAAATATTAATAACTTACCCATTGGTATGCATTGTGATGACATTGATGTCCACTCGCTATTTGTTACACATATTATATCTTTATTTTTAATTAAATGATAATTTTCCTTACATTTAAATTTTGCAATTGAATAATACATATTTGATTCAATACTAACCAAACCATTTAATGGCACATCAGGTGTTCCACAGTTATTATTGTTTGATAACAATATTTGTAATTCACATAAATTTAGGTGATAATATTGTAAATTCTAAAAACTAGTTCACTGTTATCTATACTTAACAATTGAATGCCTTTAACATAAAATTCTGTATTAAAATATATTTAAATTAAATTGTTTGTATTATTTGATAAAAATGTATCAAAAATTATGTGGAATAGTTGTTTATCAAATAAAATATACATATCTATTGTTGGTTTGATTATTAATTATTGTTTTATATAATAAACTGTTTGTCCAAATTGTGTGTTTAAATTCAATTAGACATTTGGGTATATTTGACGACAAATCTCCGATACCTTCCTTACAATAACAGCTATTATTGCCTAACAATACTAACTGTGTATTACATTAATAGTTGATAACTTTTGCTAATACTGAACTTATATTTGCATTTTAGGGCACTCCTAGTTTGGCCACTCATTGGTAGTTTAGCTACCAATTGGTGTTCATTGCTTGACCACCGATAATGACCAGTCATCAGATATCATGCAATTAATTTGTGTGTATTTCCAATCAATTTATAGTCTGTATTATAGGCTTTAATTATTTGGATATTGCAAAAACATATATTTAAATTGTTTGCAAACAAAATTGATTTTAAATTATTGCCACTAAATTGTGTTATTTTTTTTAATTTTAATATTTATTATTGAATATAATAGTAATTATTTTATATTATAATTATTATAACCAAATTGTTTTCTTAATAATTTGATACATAGTTACTATAGTTTGTATTAAATAACAATTGATTGACTTTGTAAGCAGTTATTTCTTTAATTAGTTTAATAAATATTATAATTTATATACAGTATATTCGTAAAAATAATATTAAATTATTATAAAATTTTACATTTATTTATAAATAATTCAATATCGTTATATATTATATATCTATATAAATATAATAAATATTTGATATTTTTACAATAACTTTAATAATTAACAATTTTATGTAAATATGATAAACTAAAAATATCTGTAATAATGAAACATTATACTGTATATTACAAAAAAATTTATTGTACTTTAATAACTAGATTAAATGTATACTATTATTATTTTATTATATATAACTTTAAAATAACTAAAAATTGTAAAAATAGTGTTAATTTACGACATTATAGCTTTTATACATTTAAATTTTCGTTTATATAAACTGTATTTGTTTATTATAATGTCTTTTTTAACAAATTCAGTCAATTGTATCAAACAATTATTGATTATATGGTATATATTATGTGCTATCATATCATCAATGGATAGTATAATATCACCGGAAGGGTGTGGTGTGGGCCGCGAGTCAGTGCTGATGAACGGCCAGTGTTTCCGCTGGTATGCAAACTATACACAACAACAGGACATACAGTTTGGACGATCGGCCAAACCGGGAGAAGTGCCGTTTGCGGTATATATTCACAAATATAAGAAACTATGGATATTTCCTTACGGGGAAAGGTATATCAATATAATAATATTTATTAATAATTTTATAAATACTGTATATTTAATGACAATTTATATTATTTAAAACAAATAATATAAAAAAATAAATTATTTTAGTATGTGTTCGGGTTCAATATTAAATAATCGATGGATTATAACAGCAGCACATTGTATATATAAGTATGTAATTTATAAAAACAAAATATTTAATTTAAAATTATAATCAATACTTAAATTTAAAGTTTTACCCATTATTATTATTATTATTATATACTGTATATGTACATAACAAACAATAATAATAATATTGATAAATAAAAAACTATTTAAAGTAAATAATTGTTCAAAAAACTAATAAGCTAAATCAAATAGATATTTTATGAAAATTTCCAGAAAAGTTATTTGATATTTAAACTAAAATCTTTATATAATTAAATAACACCAAAATCAATATCTTTTATATGATTTTTATCCAATTGACACCATTTTATATATAAATTCAGATAACAAATTACAAAACAAATTATATTATATTGTATTATAATTTAAGAAATGGTTATTACGACAAATCGGCATTTACTGTATATCCCGGCGCCCAATCACGCAAACACTTACCACTCGGTTATAGTGTGGACCAGTTGTACGCACATCCAGACTATATAAGTGGTAATGAAACCAAATCTGATATCGGATTAATTAAATTGAAACAATGGATACCACTTCCAACTAAACGACAACCAATCAGTCTTATGAATGCCATTTGTTTGCCCACTAATAGTAGTATTAAAAGTAGTAGTAGTGGTAGATATACACCGTCTACTGGTATATATACACCGTCTGAAAATCTTAATCAGTTGGCACTGGTAGCTGGTTTCGGTACTTATGGCAATCACTTGCATACTGTTAATCGTCTACATATTGGTTGGGTATATATTAAATATAATAATGATTTAGTATCGTATTATATGACACGTTATCCTAAATATAGTGGTACATCAACATGTAGTGTAAGTTTTTAATTATTGTTTTTTAAAATTATTTTTAATTTTTTTTCATTAAATATTTGCTATAAACTACTATAATACTACTCTATGCTATAAAAAATACTAATTTTTATAAAAATATATTGAATAATAATTCATTCATAAAAATCACATCTACTGTAACACTAATCTAACAAACATTTTAAAATTTCAATAAAAAATGAATTGAATTTAAAATAAACTATTATTTAATACAATAACTTATTAACTAGTATTACATGAATACATACTAATTTATAGGGCGATTCTGGTGGTCCACTGTATCAGTATATTAACGGTAGGGCAGTGCTCATTGGTATCATTAGTGGCGCTGAAAAATCTAATACAAATTGCTTGAATCCAAATGATTACAAAAAACTAATATTATTTGTACGCATTTTACCGCATTTGGATTGGATTACAAATATTGTATCTAATAATTAGCAAATTATATATGATTTTAACATTAGAAAAATGCAATTAATTATTTTTTTTAAATATTAATTATAGATAGCAAAATATTTTAAAGTGATTTTTAAAAATTGACATTATTTTATCATATAATCTATTGATATATTATATAAAGTATTTGTATTTATGCTAACTATAATTATGTTTGTAATTTTGATTTTATTTATATATTAAAATTTTAAAAAAATAATAAATAAAATTTCCTAAATAAACACAAATAAATTTAAATTAAGATTAAAATAATTTAATTAATGCTTTTATCACTGCTATCAATTGGATAATTGATGTAAGGGTTGTCAATATCTACCGTTTCTTTTAAATCATTTACCAATTTTTTCAATTATTGATTCAATTTCTACGACAAGTTCAGCAAATGTTGGTCTCATTTGCGAATTATTAGACCAACAGCACATCAATACGTTTTTATAAACAATTTGTGGACAATAGTGTGGTTTTAGTAAACGGTTTCCATGTTTTAAATATTTATCAATCATATTGTTGGATATATTAGGATACGGTGTATGTCCGCGGGTCAACAGTTCCCATACGAGTATACCATAAGACCAGACATCAGTTTTGGTATCATATATACCTTTTTCCAGATTCTCGGGTGACATCCATTTGACCGGAAGTTTACATTTTTGATTAATACTTTTGTAATAATCTTTATTAAACAAATCCCTCGATAAACCAAAGTCTGCTATTTTGACTAATAATTTATCGTCGATAACACAGTTACGTGCGGCCAAATCCCGTTGAATGAAACGATGTTCCGATAGATAAACCATACCTATTGTATATAACATATAATATAAATAATTTTTAATTAATTTTATTATATTTTTAGATAAAATAAATATTAGTAAAAAGTATTTACCTTTTGCTATATCGATGGCAAACATGAGTAGCATTCTTGCTGTTAGATAATTGTTATCATTTCTAATATATGATAACAAATCTCCGTTTGCCATAAAAGGTAAAACAATTATGGGTTCACCATTTAGTTCAAATGAAACACCAATTAGTTTTAAGACATTCAAATGATTGAAGTCTTTCATTATAAGGCTTTCCTTTAGAAAGGTTTTGATAGCATTCATATCATTTATCTTTGCTATAAAAATATTAAAAAATATTCAAAATTATATATTTTTGTTATACTATATATTACATACATTTTTTAAGAGTTTTTGCGGCCACTTGTATCTCATTATGTATTTGTTGATCAAATAGTAATGCTTTATAAACTTTGCCGAACTCTCCCATTCCTAATACAGATTCAAGTCTTATGTTTTTTCTTTCGATATAAATATTTTGAATCCGTATTGAATCCATAATTTCATCACTTATTTGGTATTTATTATCATTTGATGTCAGCATAATGTCTATAAATTAAAAAATAAAATAATATTAATTTTATGATTTTGATCATATAAAATTAATAAACTATTATATAATACAATAAATTAACAAAATTAGTTATTTATAAGATAAACTTATTATGCTTTATAATATAATTTAATAGAAATACCATTTATTAACATCTATTTTCATCCTTAATATTGGTTTCCTTTTTATAAATAACTTACATAAAAATATTTTTATAATTATAATTGTTATAAACTAAAGTATTTTATTAAAGTTATTAGTATTGGTTATAAAGTTAAGTTTACTAAATTTATATTTTATAGCTAAAATAATGTTTATTATGTTTAAATTTATAACACATACACATACACATACACATACACATACACATACACATACACATACACATACACATACACATACACATACACATACACATACACATACACATACACATACACATACACATACACATACACATACACATACACATACACATACACATACACATACACATACACATACACATACACATACACATACACATACACATACACATACACATACACATACAAAATTGAAATTCATATAATCTATTGATATATAAAGTATTGTAATTATTCAAACTATAATTAGTTAAGACTAAAAACTAAGTTTATAATTTTGATTTTATTTAATTATTAAAATACAAAATTAAAAACAAAAATAACAATATTAAATATTAATATAATTTAATTATTAATTATAAATGAGTTATCAATTGGATAATTGATGTAAATATTGTCTACATTTTCTTGTGCATCGTTTACTAATTTTTCAATTATTGATTCAATTTCTACTATTATTTCAGCAAATGTTGGTCTATATTGCGGATCATAAGACCAACAGCGCATCAATACATTTGTATAAACAATTTGTGGACAATGGTATGGTTTTAGCAAACGTTGTCCTTGTTTTAAATATTTATCAATCATACTGTTGGACACATTAGGATATGGTTTAACTCCGCGGGTCATCAGTTCCCATACGAGTACACCATAAGACCAGACATCAGTTTTGGTATCATATATACCTCTTTCCAGACTCTCGGGTGACATCCATTTGACCGGAAGTTTACATTTTTGATTAATACTTTTGTAATAATCTTTATTAAACAAATCTCTTGATAAACCAAAGTCTGCTATTTTGACTAATAATTTATCGTCGATAAGACAGTTACGAGCGGCCAAATCCCGGTGAATGATATGATGTTCCGATAGATAAGACATACCTATTGTGTATAAAATATAATATAAATAATTTTTAATTAATTTTATTATATTTTTAGATAAAATAAATATTAGTAAAAAGTATTTACCTTTTGCTATATCGATGGCAAACATGAGTAGCATTCTTGCTGTTAGATAATTGTTATCATTTCTAATATATGATAACAAATCTCCGTTTGACATAAAAGGTAAAACAATTATCGGTTCACCGGTTGTTTCAAAGCAGACACCTATAAGTGTTAAGACATTCAAATGATTGAAGTCTTTCATTATAAGGCCTTCCTTTAGAAATGTTTCGATAGTATTGACATCACTTATCTTTGCTATAAAAATATTTTAAAAACATTCAAAATTATATATATTTTTTATACTATATATATTACATACACTTTTTTATAGTTTTTGCGGCCACTTGTATCTCATTATGTATTTGTTGATCAAAGAGTAATGCTTTATAAATTTTGCCGAACTCTCCCATTCCTAATACAGATTCAAGTTTTATGTATTTTCTTTCGATATAAATATTTTGAATCCGTATTGAATCCATAATTTCATCATTTATTTGGTGCTTATTATCATTTGATGTCAGCATAATGTCTATGAATGTTAGTATAAAATAAATATAATTTTATGATAATAATGTGTAATATAATAAAAATAATATCATATGTTAATAATAAGATAAACTTATTGAATTTATAATGTAATCTTAAATGAAATACCATTTGTTAGCACTTGTCTATTGTCATCGTTAACATAGGTCTCCTTTTTATATATGACTTCAATTGATTTAACAGTATTTTTCTTATTATTTTTCTTAACATTTATTATATGAATAATTACACAAATAATTACTGCAAACATACCAATAATTGCTATTACTATAATTTAAAAATATTGTAATTAATTTTTTATAAATAATATTAATTAATTATAATTAATTTTACCTGATAATGTATCTTCGTCCTTTTTTCCTTTATTTATACAAACAATAATAAAACAAATAAATAAATTATTATATTAAATTTTATTTGTACAATAATTTTAAATTACTAGTTAAAATTAAATATTTTTATTATTATTATTGTTGAAAACTAAAGTATTAATAGCATTATTATTAATAATTAAAAGGATAATAGATAAAAAGTTTTTATAGCTAACAATAATGTTTATTATGTTTAAATTTATATACAATTTAATATAATAACTATTTATATCTTACCATTTGGTATGCATTCCGATGACATTGATGTCCACTCATTATTTGTTACACAAATTATTTCTTTATTTCCAATTAAATCATAATTTTCTTTACATTTGAATTTTGCAATTGAATAATTCATATTTGTTTCAATACTAACCAAACCATTTGATGGCACATCAGGTGTTCCGCAGTTATTATTGTTTGATAACAATATTTGTAATTCACAAATATTTAGGTGGAAATTGTTTTTAAAAAATATACTCAAATAATCTCCATAAATATAATAATCGTTTTGAATGTATTGATAAACATTTACATAATTTTTGAAACTTTTTGTTAGTAAATGTAATTTTGAAAAATTATTTTGATTTTTTAGACCAAATTTTAAGTGATAATGTGGTAAATCTAGTTCACTATTATCCATACTTACTAATTGAACGCCTTTAACATTAACTGTTGAATTAAAATATATTTCAATTAAATTGTTTGTTTGATTGGATGAAAATGTGTCCAAACATCTCGAGTAGTTGTTATCAAATAAATACTTAACATATCTATAGTTGGTTTGATTATTAATTATTGTTTTATTGATAAACTGTTTATCCAATTGTTTGAGACATTGAGGTACAGGTGAAGACCAACCATTGATGTCATTATTGCAATAACGGCTAGCATTGCCTAACAGTATTGATTGTGTATTACATGAATATTGAACAATATTTTTTGATTTAAAACTAATAAATCCATTAAACGGCACACCTGGCTCTGCACAGGGGCTTACATTTGATTGATAAAATAAAATAAAATTTACAATTAAAATAAATTTACTTAAATAGTTAAACATTTTTATCACTTAATATAATAATCACTTTATCATTTAATATAAAAAAATTAATATTTTATAACTTTTTAATTTAATAGTTATCAATTAAGATTTTTTTGAAAAATAATATACTTATAAAAAATCTTATAATAATTTTTTTTTGTATATTACTGTATTTTTTTGAAAAATTTATAACTTATAACTTATATTTAAAATATTATGTATTATTTTATACTGTATATTTCATTTTAATATTTCATATATAATAAATTTTTTTGAAACAAAAATTAAACAATTATTTTTGATATCACAGTTTCAAATAATCTCAAATAATAAATATATCTCAATATATAAATAATTTTTCTAAACTTAACAGTCAGTATATATTGATATATATATATGATTTCAATTTACAATGATTTTGTGTCCAGGAAACTTATATATTTACATATGAATTTATTCTGTGTATAAATATTGTGATTTGTTTTTTAATTTTGAACTACAAAAACATATATTTATAAACATATTTATATAATATTGACATTTTTCAAAGATAAATCACAAACAGTTTTTCTATTAATCATATGTTATTGAATATATATATATATCTATTGTGTATTAAAAAATATCAATTATTTATGAATTGACTATCAAATTGATATTTTATAAAAAAAAATTGTTATTGTTTTTTAAAAAAAATTATTAAATGTTATTGTTATTGGTTATTGTAATATTAATAGTTATTGAAAATTGCAATTATATATATATATATATTTGTGTAAAAATTGCAATCTTTAATAACATATAATAGATTAATGTATATATATATATATATACAATAGTATATATTATTTTTTAAAAATATTTTTAATTAAATTATAAACTAAACATTTATTCTGATTATTGAATTACAGTTAATGTTTTTTTAGTTTAACATATTTACATAAAACATTTAGTAAATATCATATATACTGGTTATACTGTATAAATAATAAAATAATAAAAACTTTCAATATATGATATTATTGACATTTTTAAAGATAAATCAATATTTAGCAATTTAATTTTAATTAAAATCACGCAAACAATTTTTTTGTATTAATCTTATTGAATATATGATCCAAAAAATATTTTATAATAAAAAAAATAAATTTATTATAACTTTATCTTTTTATTATTGAAGTACATTATTTTGTATTAGTATTAATCTATAAATTATTATAATTTTATTTATTTTTTACTTACATTTACATAATTTTGCGGCTACTTTTTTGATGGTATATTTAATAATGAAAAATATTAATATAAGATTTCAGTTATAGCAAAAATAAAATATTTAAATATATTTTTTATTATTGTTATTTATTTATAAAAATAATAATTTACTCTACATTTTCTCAGATTATTGAATTACAGTTAAAAAATTTTGTTTAGTGTTTATTATATTTGCATAAAACTGTTATTCAGTTAGATATCAAATATACTGTTTATATAAATTTATTTAAATAATTAATAATAGATATTAAAATTTATTTATTGTATATTAATTGTATTAAAGTAGTTTTTCTAATTTTTATTTATCATTATTTTAAAAAAATAAAAATTACTAAATAATTAAATATCATTATTTTATTATCAAAACAAATATAATTTTTTATTATGTTTTAAACAAAAAAACAGATAATATTACTAATTTTATAGATTTAATTTTAATTCAATACTATATTTTTAATTAATAATTTTTTAAGAAAAATACTACTCTAAAAACAATTACTATTTAATATTATATATAACTATTTTAGTTGTATTTTAATTAAATATAAATATTTATTATATTACTATGATTTAAAATTTTACAAAACTGTTTATTGTTTATACTATAGATATAGATATGGGTATCAACAATAAAGTTAAATTTCTTTAGAAAATTTCCTGAAAATTTTTCTATTAACTTTATTATTGAAATTTATTATTGAAACTTTCTATTTGCTCATCTCTTACTGTAATTCAATAATCAGAAAAAAATGTATAAAATTATTATTTATCAATGACTGTATATTGTTTAATAAATGCTAATTCAAACATTTACAATACAAAATTTTAATATAGGATTATAGTTATTGCAAAAATAAAATATTTAAATATATTTTTTATTATTGTTATTTATTTATAAAAAAATAATATACTCTACACTCTCTCAGATTATTGAATTACAGTTAAAATTTTTTTATTGTTTATTATATCTAAATAAAACTGTTATTCAGTTAGATATCAAATATACTGTTATTTAAATAATTTATAATTTTTATATTTTAATTAATTAATATTTTAAGATATAAAAATAAATTTATTGTAAATTAATTGTATTAAAGTAGTTTTTTCTAATTATTATTATTTATATTATCATTTAGTTAAAAAAATTAAAATTATTACTAATTATTTAAATAACAATTTTTTTTATTTTCAAAACAAAAATAATTGTGTATTATGTTTTAAACAAAAAAAAACAGTTAATAATATTATTACCAATTTTATAGATTTAATTGTAATTTAATAATCCTAAATGTATAATATATTTTTTTAAATAATTTTTTTTAGAAAAAATACTACTCTAAAAACAATTAGTATTTAATATTATATATATATATAACTATTTTAGTAGTATTTTAATTAAATATAAATATTTATTATATTACTATGATTTAAAATTTTACAAAACTGTTTATTGTTTATACTATTATATGTATCCTATTTTGTATAGTAGTGTAAAACTGTAAATGTATTATGTTTCACCAATAATACTATTTCAATAGTTATAGATATGGGTATCAACAATAAAGTTAAATTTCTATAGTAAATTTCCTGAAATATTTTCTATAAACTTTTTCATTGAAATTTATTATTGTAACTTTTACTGTAACAAACTCTTAATGTAATTCAATAATCAGAAAAAATGTATAAAATTATTTTTATCAATGACTGTATATTGTTTAATAAATGCTAATTTAAATAAAAATAATAATCAAACATTTTATCATTAAAATGTGAAATGATATAATAATATATATAAACATTATATAATTTTAAAGATCTCAATAAATATTTATAATATTTAATTTGTTTAGACTATTTTGAACATACAGTATATTACATTATGATTACTTTCGAGTTGAAAATTAATTATTTATTATATATAAATAATAAAATATGCTAAAATTTAGTTTAATTTTCATTAAATTGTCAAATTAGAGATTTAGATACAATTAGATATTAGGATACTTATAATAGATTTATTATAGAAGTATATACAGTATACAAAATTTATATTAAAGTAATATTAAATATTTATTGTATTAATATTTTACATTTAGTAATAAATAATTTAATATCTTTATATATATATAGTGAATATTTGATATTTTAGCAATATTTATAAGAATTAACAATTTTATGTAAATAGGATAAACTAAAAAAATTTGTATTAATTGAAACAATATACTGTATATTACAAAAATTTTTATTGTAATTTAATAACTAGATTAAATGTATATTATTATAATTATTA